CCTCTCTCTGGTCTTGTGACAAGACTAACCTCAGCTGTGCAGGGGTTGGTGGCATTTGCATGTGGAAATGCACTAATATGGATGTTTTTCTTTGTGTGTGCATCCTTGCAGTGTTGTATACCAGGATGGATTTTATGGTGCAGACATTTATGTAAGTATTCATTGATGTGCATGCTGTCCTTGTACATTACCAGAGTCATTCTTTTTACAAGTTTGCTGCCTAGCTTGACTCTGTTTTGTCTATTTACCATCCCTTGCCTGTCAGAAAGAATTGAGAAGAATATCTCTCACATTGGAAGACCTTTCTGTTCATTACATCTATCATTGTTCAGTGGAGCTGAATTAACTCTTCAATCAAATGCTGAATGAATGCAAAAAGATGTGAAAAATGTGTGTGCGTGTGTGTGTGTGTGTGTGTGTGTGTGGAGGGGCATCTCCCTTCAAAACTGAAGTTCAAAGAAAAAATAAAAATGAAGCAGAAAACTTCTTCTGCAAATTCCCAAAAGCTGTTTTTTAAAAAAATCAAGGCAAGCTGAATATCATTAATATGTGAAGTATGAAAATACTTTCTGGAGAGACAGATTTCCCAAATCCAGGCAACATTTGGTATATGTAAGTGCCTTGGTTATAGTAGAGCTTAATTATATAGTGAGTATAAGGTATGACTATGTATTGTCTGTACTCTGAGTAGACTTCCATCTGCTCTTCTAAAATCCACCCATTTCAATTTAAATGGAATGGATAGAGAAGGCTTAACATGGAAGAAGTAGCAATATCTGTTAGTAAGGACTTATAGCCCTGGATCTATCATTACCTACTTGACCTTCTGTGTCACCAATTTCCTTTTAAATAATATTTTTTAAAGTTTCTTACCATATTGATTTTTTCACCTTGCATGGATACAAGGAGGCTACTTGTGTCTGAGTATGCAAGAGGTTTCAGGTGGTTGAGGCTGAATTTTTCTCCTCTAAAATCTTTAATTCTTATACCCAATGTTCACAGACTTTTTTTTTTAATATGTGGATGTAAAATACGTTACCAATACCCTGGTAATCTTTCACATTTATTATCATTTTGATAAAGCAATGTGATCCTAAGTTACAGATACCACCTTTATTTCACCAGACAACTTTCTCTAGCCTACTTGTGCTTCTGTTGTACTGTCTCTGTTGAGATAAAGAGATGGATTAGTTGAAATTGGTACGAATATTACAAATTTAATAGGTAGTGCTAGAAAATATTCCATTCTATTAATTATCTGCAATCTTTTAGAACAATTTCCAAGAGAATAGATTTTTTTTATAAGTTTTAGATAAAAAAGGAAAACTATTTGAGTTTATGGATGAAGTAGGTTTTGGTTTTCTGATAGAGTATAATGAGTCTGATACTTAATTGAAATTACATCTGTGTAGTTTAAAATGATATTTAAAATAAATTAGCATGAGTTGGAGTTCTCTCTGTATGTATTAGTGATGTTATCAGTAACATATTGTTTACAACACAGGAGAATCGCCCATTTGCCAAAGGCTTACTCAAGTGTAGTATGCTGCCTTAATCTCACCTAAACACATTGCTGCTGAATTTTTGAGCTGTATAGGATACATGGTACAGTGTGGGATTTCTTCAAGTGTGGTTTCCAATTTTCATATTTCTTCAAACTGTCAAGAGAATGTGACATCAATTTTGCTCCATTTACCAACCCGAAAATCTGAAATGCAACAAGACATCTTTCTCAGGATTGCTTAATGTGATAGTATAGGTGAGAACTAAATGTTCAAGTAACAGTTCATAGTTTTGGAACTCACTGCTGCTGAAAAACAGGAATTATCTCTTTTGATGAATGCAAATATTATTTTTAGGTGTCCTCACACCATCTCACAGACTTTAACATTTGTTTCCAAATGGAAACCGATTTCAATGGGGAAGATACCAAGGAAATTATTTATTTCTAGTATAGCCTCAGTTTTGTTGTCTGGAATAGCCATATGCATTAAGAAATGGAACAACTATATTGGTGCATTGGTTTTCACTCAGTTGCAGCCTTGTATTTCTGATTGCATTTCTTAGTTCTCTTAATGCAGCAGAATGTTTACCTCTACAGCAGTTGATGGAATTAAGACACTCTTCTGTAAATCTGCTTAATTTTTTAATAATGTACAAAGCTTCTTATTTTAGAATTAATTTTTCTTCACATTTGTTCTTTCTTGCATGTAAAATATTTTGCAGGGGAGGGAGAGAGAGATGGAGACAAAACTAGCATAAGTCAAAAGGAACCTTGCAATTCACAGTGTATTAGTTCTTAGTGTATTAGTTTGCAGTGGACCAAGTTATTTATTTATTAAATCCCAATTGATTATGACATAGATCTACTCAACTTTCAAGTTTAAGTGCAGATATGAAGCTTTGTGAAAGAACAAATGCTTTGTGGAAAAAAAAAAGGGAGAAAACATCCAAACATATAGATTGCAATAGATTGGAGAGAAAGAAACCTTAAATATAGCACAGAAAGCAAATCAAAAGGAACACAGACCTTAAAGGCCAAACCTAAAATCTACATTAAAAGTATATCAAAGTGGGTTTCATCTAATATAGTTACACAGATTAGCAACAGTAATATGGACCATACTAAGCTTTTCATAAGCTATCAATATAGACTTTGATGGCTAGATTTTTTGGAAAGGAAGGAATGAAGACACAGAAAGATACCAGTTTCGTAAAAACTGCAGGGTGAACCAAGAACTGCAAATATCCAGAGCTGTTTAATACTAACCAGAGGAAAAGAAGAGAATAGGAGTATAGAAATAGGTGGAAAGTACAGTCTAAAATGAAAAATCAACAGCCATGATTCTAGATGTAATATAATATATTCTATATTTCATATAGTTCTATATGAAATGTAATATTGCCTCTGAAATAGCTGAGCTATTGAATTCCTTTTTAAATGTGTCTTTGAGCAGGAAAAATAAAGGAGATGATTAGGAAGTAAGGAAGACCTTTTAAAATTAAGTATTGATTCACTAAGAGAAAAAGTCATTAAAAGAGAATTAAGGTTGCCTGCCAGCAAATATAGAACTTCCTAGATGAAGATTGACACTTGTGAAAATAAGAAAATACACTTCATAAAATGAAACAAAAATAGTAACGGACGCAGAAATATGCAGTTAGAATAATAGCTCTACACTATTTTTTTGCTTTGTCTTAAATCTGCTGTTTTTTTTTTACCATTGTCATAAAGAATGTTTTCAGAATGTGTCATTCTTCAATCCAAACCTAAAATGTAAGAAGGCTAAGAAATATGTGAAACTTCCACACTCAGTCATCACCAGCCTCAGAAGTCCCTTGGTAATATGGTTTGACCATGTACATTAGTCAGTCTTATCGTTCATGGCAAGATTTTCTAGGCTGTTCCCAGGATTCTGAACCTGTCGTACTGCAGCTGGTGAAGGTCCACAATGGCATACAAGGACATAGGTTTGAGATTTTTTCTGAGCTGCTGATCACCAATAAGGCATACTCTGTGATCAGGGATATGGAACAATTATCAATAGTTACTGCCAGGTCCTTTGGCTCACAGGTAGACTGATATGGAGGGCAGAGCATGTATTCATTCCCCAAGGAGAAAGCAGCGTTCCCTTGACACTAGGTAAAAGTCCATCGATGTGATCAGATACCCTGAAAGGTGCCGTTCTGGTGTGTAAATCAAGGTTATGCAGTTAGCACTGAAATCTTTATTTTAAGAACCAAAGATATTTGTGATTTGTGAGTGGAAGTATTTGCTATTTCCTGTTACTCACAGAAACAGAACAAGAAGTGGAGAAATAACTTTTCCAAGGCAAGGAGCAGTGGATTGTTCTTCCTTGTGCTCTGTGTGCTGGAACACTCCATGACACCTTTATAAAAGTTTTGAGATCTAGTGATGAATGTAGTTTCATCTCTTTGATCTTTATTTGCGATATAAACGCTACATTCAAAAAAATGCTTGATCACTCCTGGTGATTGTATTTGGTTGGAATTAATACAGGTGGTGTCAGTTTGGATATATTACCAAGAGCTTCTCTGAGGCAACAGATACTCTGGGAGCACACTAGAAATAACATGAACCTTTCACATAAACCTGTTCCAGAAGTTGAGCCGCCACAAACAGGTGATGGATATTTTCTTTTTAATTCTTCCAGTCAAAGTTTTACTCCATGAGCAGAACAAATACTGTTTAAACCTCAATATTATATGAGTAGAGGAAGAGGAAATGACTACTTCTACTTTCTATAGTTTGCAGGGTGGTATATTAGTCATGGCATTTCTTTAATCCCGTTTCTCTAATTTTAGCTAATAAGGCAGGTGTAATTCTCAATACTAGAGAAGGTTTTGAACCTTGATTAATTTATGTTCACAAAATACTTTAATATCCATGAGGCAAAGGAGGTATAGGAAGTAAAAACTGAGGAAAAGTAATTATCAGTGTTTACAGAGAATATTAAATATGTTACTAATAGGAAAAGCTAAGAAAAAAAATACCCATTTTAGTCATTTGGTTTATCTGTATCTACAATAAACACTATCGGTACATCCAAGATCAAGCGAAAAAGCAATTTAGGTACTTTAGGAGGAGTTGCATACACATAAACATGGTTTTATAATTTACAGATATGCATTTGTATAACTCATTTCTGTGGAAATTAATCTTATTACAGATATACACATTTTATTTAAAAATTTGGATGCATTTGATTTTCCGTTCATTTCCATTTTATCATATCTTATAAAAATATTCTATCATTTATTTCTAAAATTGATTAAGATTTCTCAGTAACAATTGGCTGTGGATCATCCATGGATCCCACCGTGCTTTTTCAATTTGCCTGAGCCTCAGATTTGTGTAAAATATTGAAAGGAGAATTGGGGAATTTGTCTGAATTCCTTCCTTACGTGTTTCTTTCCATTGTTCTTTCCATCCCACTTTCCTTACTCATTCAAATCATTACATTTCTGTTTCTTTGTAGAGCAGTATTGCAAGAGCCTGTGTATTGCAATAAGTAACCACAGGTATGACGTGATGACTGATGATCCTGAATGCAGGTTCTTGTAAAATCATACTAATAACTAATTGTTATGTGAGAAAATGGTATCTGTGTGTATAAATGATAAGAATAGGCTACCAGTTGCATTTTATTTTCTAGATTGTATCACAAAATCACAGATAGTCTTCATATCCCATGAAATACAACAGTTACTGTTGTGAGTGTCCTGTTCAGTATTTTATACCAGTGAGATATATTTCTATATGCGAGTATATCGACTATACTTAATTTTTTAACACAACTTGAATTGCTGGAACATTGTGTTATCATTCTTTTGGAAGCAGCAAATATGGGAGCACAGATAAGGCAGTAAGCATTTTTTAATTATTTTAGTTGAATTTATTATTTCATCTGAATTTTCAAAGTAATAATTTAAAGCAGAACAGTCAGATACTTTCTGTTTGAATGTACTTACTGAGACGGGGGGGGGAAAGCAGCGTTCCTAAAACATTTCTGAACACTTATTATTATGTAATTATTACATAATTTTGTTCTAAATATTTTTTTTGCATTATAGTCTAAGGCATGAAGATAAATATTTAATACACTACTCAAGAGATGTATATGTAATGAATATTACTAGTGTATTTTTCATCTAAGACATCAGCCAAGTTCAAGATAAGAGAAAAATTGTAAAGTAGAACTAGTCACAGAAGTTTGGAGTTCAGGAGTTTGAATCATTCCCACCCTGATTCCCAATACAAAGTGTATTTTCAAGTATTTTGTTATTGTTATGCTAAATCATCTAAAGTAATTGAAGTAAAACAGTAATAAAACTTAGTATCACACCAAAACTGCAAAATACAAGCTGTATAGATATAATTTGCTTAATAATGATTTATATTTTATTACATAATAGCTTACATTAAAAATTAAGAATCATGACATGGGCTGGTAGGGAGTTATGATTTTCCTGATAACCAAATGCATCCTGCATTTTAGACCTTCACAGAACTCAGGCAAATTCAATAACCTCGTTCTCTATTTATTTTTATTGCTTTAGACTCTGTCTTTCCAGGACTTTCTCAAATTTCATACTGATTGTTGAATCCAGAGTATCTCAGTAAAGTTCAGAGTTGAGCTTCATTGTTCAGCAGCAATTCTTTGATGAAAGCAAATCAAAATGAAAGTGTAAAAGGAATGTAACTCTTATATTTAGGGAGCAAGAAAAGGTCTGACTTTACAGACTAGCCAATTTTTAGTAGTGGTTAAATAAAGAAAAACAATCCTCACAGCACCTGCAGATTTGAGACCAGCCAGTATGTGCATGGTCTATCTCATTTTTGCCTGATCAAGACCATCAAAACATTGATACTTCTCGTGGTGGATAGTTGGATTGAAATGAAGCAGCTTTCACATTTAAATCAGTATTTTAGAAATGGACTTCAGGACGAGCCAGGGAGTCATACATGTGGCAAACAGAATCGTGTCATGCTGCAGAATGACTTGCAGCCTGCCACACATTTTCAGGACTGGATCATGAAAACAAGTTCAACATCCTCTTTATACTCTTACCATTTGTACTCCCTCACATCAGCACTTAGGAGGAAAGAAAAAAAAAAGGAAAGAATTAAAAGAGATGCTATATTTAGCACTCAAAAAATGTGAAGGGCATAACAGATAAAAGTGCATAATCTCTCACCTTTCTTCTAGTAGCAGAAGCCAGACCAAGTGTGCAGCTTGCATTATCACCTCTCAGCCTCACTGTTTACTGACTGCTTGCACTTGGTGACATTATTTGACATCCAATTGCCTATATGCACATACCTGCAAGTAATAGGTGCCTACTACACCTTGTTGACAGTAACAGCCTCCCTCTGGTTTATAAGAAACCAAATGATCTGCAATGAGAAGAGATTTCATCTCAGTGCTGCTGTGCTCACAGCTCCTGCCTCTGCCAGGGTGTGTAGCACACAGTGGCTGCTGGCTGTGAGCAGGGGGATAAATGCCCTGCTCTCTGAGGGGGCACTTGGGAGAGGCAGGAAGGATATTCCTCAAGTGAGCTGACAATTCAAAGCCTGGAGTTTCTAATGAGTTGTCACTCTATGTAAAACTTACATTTATTCTTAGGGTGATATGACGTTATCAGCTGAATGATTGATTTCCTGAACTGAACTGCTCCAAATCTTCAAACCAAAAAAGGTTTACACATGTTAGGGATCAAAGCAATTCCACCAAGCAAAAGTAGTACAAGGGGAAATATCTTGTAAAATAGTTAAAATGTGTTTTCTGAAAAGAGCAAATTTTTTTTTGTAAAATCAAAATAGAAAACCCACAAGAGTTCCTGCAGTAAAAATGTGCTACTGTTACAGTAAAGGTTGACACATCGTAGCCTATTCTTCATGCTTCAGTGTAATACCTGGGGTGAATGCAGCCTTCAAAAAAAAAACCCCCAAAAAAACAAACCAAACCAAATGAAAAAAACTGCACAAAACATCAGTTCATTAATGCAGACACGTTGGCAAAAGAGTGAGTCTTATTCCAAGCTGAGTGATCTTAAACTTTCTCATTCCACTCTTTGTTAAGGTGGGGAAAGGTGAGAACGGAAATACAGAAGTCCCCTGTCCCAGAGGATTATGTGCATTCTAATTGGGACGTAAATTGTGTTTGTGTTATCTGCAGAGACTGGCCTCTGTTTGTTAATTGGCATGCTGTGATCATTTTGAAATGGTTGATATAACGCCGTGGTCCATTGAACAGGAAGCTCTGCTGTTTTCACAGTTTGATAATCAATGCATCACTGCACACAATTCCTTTCAAATGTGTGTTTGTTTGTCCTGTTTGCTTAATTGAACAGCTGCAATTACTGTTACATACAACTGAATGTTAATTCGTGGAAGAAGGGAATTTTGCTTCTTCATTATAATGTTATGTATAAATTAGAAACCTATGTAACATTAAGCGTTAATTGAGTGCACAAATTCATAGGTTTAATCAACCAGACATGATAAGTCCTATTTTGTAAATAAGGAGAATTGATAGCTGAGTTTTTCTTTCAAGTTAGGCATTGCTTTATTAATATGCATACACCTCATTCATCAGAACAATTGCTACTTGAAAACTTGTGGAAGAAAACAGAATGGCCTGGTAAAAAAAATTTAGGTTGATGAATCTAATTCATTGCTTTCTCCTGATATCTGGAACAAAAGTACAAGATTGTGGTGATAAACTTTGCTTAAGGATTCACTGAAATACTGCTTGTGTATTTAACCCCTTAACTGAACTTATAGCATGCCAGTACTCTTCCAGTTGTTGCTAAATTTTGCAAACTGTTCTTGAAGGTGCTGTAGCCATGCAGTTAGAGCGTGAGTTTGTGTTTCAGGGTGGTTATGCTGCCTACCGGTATGCCCAGCCTGCCACTGCCACTGCAGCCGCCTACAGTGACAGGTAAGAGTGCATTTCCTGACCAGAAATATTTGACCAGTGGGAGTTGAAGATTATTCTATAAATTTGCCTTGTTGAAGTCTCATAACTGTCTTGTTGCTCTGCAGATAATTGTGTTATCTACAGCAGGCTGTTTTATTATAATCCATGAATAGCCATAAATGAGAGAGTTTAGGCTTTAATTGAGAATCAGGCATGAGATGTGCACATTCCCAAGCTGTAGATCATCCAGCTAATGTCTGTGACCCTTGTGCAATGTAGATAAAGATATGTACAGTTTCATGATGGTCTGCTACTAAAGATCATTATTCGTCTTAGGAGTGTTATTTCAGTCGATTTAGAACCTGAACCTATTGAGTGCCCTCAGTACTCACTGACACTGTTTTAGTCAGTGGAAATTGAGGATGAACTGTGTCTAAGCTTGAACTATCCAAAGCAAAATAATATTTTTTCCATTTGCTTCCTTTCCAGGCATTTGATTTTTTAAAAATACTGGAAAAAAAAACAAAACAGAAAAACCAGTTAGTGTTCTTTTGCTCTGTATTTTTATCCTCAAAATGTAACCCACATTTGGTGGAAATAATACCAGGAATAGAAGATTTTTAAAATCTGCATATGAGAAACATGCAAAGACTTAACTTCTATAAACTCGAAGCAATGTCACATAAATTAACTTGTCTTCTTGCAAGATGAAAATTGAGACCCCTTTGAAGACAACATCTAAACTGCTGTTGACTTCAGTAGGAAAAGATTTTGTCAAATTGCAAAAAATTAAGTCTTTGCAGTGTGTGAACATGATTTTTGTAATGAAAAACAGAATATCCTATGTTGTCTTCATAAACTGTACTCTTAACAAAATCTATGCTACCTTTATACTTTTCAATACTTGAAGAGTGTACAGTCGTAAAGGGAGGATGTATGTTGTGAAAGACAGATACATGCATATATTTTGGTTCACAATAGCAGTGAGAAGTAAGGTCACACTTCTCAATTCCTGGTATAAGAAAATTTTCCCTTGGAATCATGGAGATGATTTCTTAAGTCTTGAATATGTACTGAAAAATTTCTTTAGATGCTAAATTAGACATTGTTTTAAATGTTTCTGTTGCTTAAAGAAATCAACCGATTAAGAAATTTCAGTGAACTATTTCTTAGATTGAAGTGCTGTTCATGGATTCTGTATTTTTAGAATAACATACCATGGTATGAATGTTCCAATGCTATGCATGCATATTTGCCTTTCAAATGCTTATTCTGGGTAATGTAGATCTATTTTTTAAAGTTATGTGAATAAAATAATTTGCATGTGTGGCTGAGGCATGCTGTATCAGACAGGTAAGCAAGTTCCTTTCTATTAATTTTGGATCAGCTATATCAACTAGTTATGTGCTGTGCGCACTTTGTTCGCGATGTACTGTTTCTACTTAGGGTAACCTACAAAGGGGCAGTGCTACTCAGTAGTTTCATTTCATTTCCACAAAGGTGTGTTAGCATGTTGCAGCTCTAGGATTTTTCTGTGAGCTTATAATGCAAAACAATTCCTGCTTCTAAAAACTTACTAAACTGAAAGAACAAAGTTATAAATAATCTCCTGTTGTTAATTATTTTTAGCCAGATATTGTTCAGGTGTCCCTGGATCATTTTGTAAGGTGTTTATTGCTATGAATAAATGAATTTCTGAAAATCTATACGTTCCATAGAGAAACTGAACAATATCAAGATGGCTTTTAAATGCTTCAATTATGAATTAGTGTACCTTCTTATAAAACAAATCAAATGCTCTAAGATAAAACATCAGTTGGTCACATGTTCTGCTATGGGTAGAAAGAGTCAATATCACTAAGAGTTATGCTGACAGTAAAAATAAAGGATTTGTCTAAGAAGATAGTGCTCTTAAATGCTCTAAAGGAAGCTTGAGATGGCATCAGTAGTTGTTACAACCCTTAATTATTTTTTTGAAAAAATGTCTAATTTTCAGATACACCTTGTGTATAATTAGAATTGTAATCACCTGTCTTTGCTTGCATAATTTTAAATATCTTAAACGAGTTTTATATCTTTGGGATTTTTTTAATGCAGCTTCTCTTTTTAAATGTGGTTAACCCTCATCTTCAGTCTGCTTCCTCCAAATGAATATGGTTTCTTGTTTTAATTACAAATATTGTAACTGAATTTCTTCATGGGAGAATCCTAAAACTAGCATAGAGAACAACACAAATAACAATCTACTCAAACATTCCTCTCCATATGGGAAAGTATGTGCAAACATGGATACCTCTACTGACAAATACAATTTATTTAATTTTATTAACTTTTCATTCATTTTTTAAAATTAATTTAATTTTGAAACTTTTGTCAATTATTAATACTGAAAGTGCTGAAATATATTTCAGTACAACTGCTCACCTCTTTTCTTCTCAATGTAATAATAATCTGCTGTCTTCTGACAATATTGAAGATTCCATATCTCCTTATTGATTTGAGCCCCTATTTAATTTAACTACACATTAAATATATTTACTGTTTATGTGTAAACAATGCCCAGAAAAATGAAGTGAGGACCAGTGAGTATGTGCTATCATGAAAATACTACTTCATATTAATTTAAAAAAATTTTAAAAAGCTTTATTTCTTTGATCACAGCTCATATACATGATGAATGGCAATGTTCCATATTTGACATGCTTTTAAGTCAGGAGATGGAGAGAGGAAATCTTTAGATTGGAAACATGTTTTGGTAAATTAAAAATAAAGGTTAACAGAAAGATTTGGGACTCCAGAATCAATACACCAAGTCAGTGGATAATGATCACTGTAAGAGAGCTCTACTGTGACAAAATGCAATGGTATCCGTGTTTGTCACAGCTGGAAATAGGCAGAGAACAGATATATAGGGGAGAATCAGGTGGTAAGGAAATCTCATGAAACAAATCAAGGCAAACTCTTAAGTATTTGTTAAGACAAATCATGTGCTCCTAAAAACAATTTCTCAATGGAGGCAGACCTTGCAGATTTTTCCAGTCATTTCTTAAGACTGTAAAACAAAAACCAACCAAACAAAAAGGTACTATTTTAATTTATGAAGCAATGTTATCACTGAACACAACAAAATAAAATTAGAATTGAATTTTTGTGCTGTGATCTATAATTATACTAAATTGCACTTAAAGATTTGAAGCTCTTTGCAAAAGTAGATTAAAAAAAATCATGTTTAACTTTCCAATATTTAAAATATTACTGATAAATTTTCCAATTCTTAGAATGGATAAAAAGGGGGCATACTGGTCTATACATGTTCTTCACCATTCTGGACTTTTGCCTGCCAAACTCTTTAAACTGATTGTCTGGGAAAAATAATTTTAAGGATGTGCAACAGACACTAAATCAGGTGTCAATAAAATGTTCGTACAGCTTTTATTCTGCTTTCATGTAGTAGTTATTAAAATAAATAA